TAATTGAGACACGTTTATGGATACCACGAGAGATAAAGCAAATGAGATTTTTTTCATGTGAGAGAAAAAAGACAGCAGATATGAAGAAGTAGAACCAACCAAGGATCTTTGGAGAAAAAGCTAATTCCAGGTCTGGGATGAAGATATAAAAGAGGTGCTGGGAATATCTAACCATCAAGACTACCAAGGTTGCATCAAGTACAGCGCTTGACTAAAAAAAAGCCAAACATGAAAAGGGACAAGGATAAGATAAAAAGTACATAAAAATGATAAGTACAAATGACTGTAATACATCAGCTGTTATAACCATAAATTTATTACAAATGAATATAAAAACGGACTGATATCTGTAATACTGGGCCAGGGATTTGGCTCAGTGGTTCTACCACCTGCCTCGCAAGTGCAAGGTCCTGAGTTCGATTCCCAGTACCCAAAAAAACCACAAAAAATTGTGGTATCTGTAATACTGATGATTGTTCATTTTTATTATTATTCATTTATTTATTTTTTGGTGCCAAGGATCAAACTCAGGACCTTTCATTTGCAAGACACGTGCAGTGCCGCTTCCTCAATCCCCGGCCCTGATGATTGCTCATTTTTAACTGACTGTGACCATAACATTGTGGCTATGTTTTAAAAGGGGGAATCCTTGGGGTTTTGTATCTATAAATATCTGAGAATCTTTACAGATAGGTGTGAGACTAACTTCAGAAGAAAAAGGAGTACGTTTGGACAAAGAGTAATGGGGAAAAATAGGAAACAAAACTGGCCATGAGTCTACCATTTGGGGGGCTTTTTATTTATTTGGGGGTAGTGCTGAGAATGGAATCCAGGATGTTGCACACAAGAGGTACGAGCTCTAACACGAACCCCAGTCTAGTGAGTGTATAATCCGGAAACCTGAGTAAAGGAGCCCTTTTCCTCTCCGCTTTTGTAAACACTGAAATTTCTCATAATGGTCACTTTCAAAGGGGATGAAGCCAGACAATAAAAAATAACAGTAAAGACATACACAATGCAAAATAACAAGAATTCCACCAAAACTCTAACAAGTACTGGAAAACTAGCACGAGAATGCAACGCGTAAACCCGACAGCTTCTCCGTCCTCAGAGGTTCGGGTGGGGACGGCATCCCCATGACTTCTACAATACAATCTAATCGTTTATGAAAATATATTAGCTTTTATGATCATGAAGAAAAAAAGCATCCATGGTAAGTAAGACTAGCAAATGGAACCTTAACTGAACACACAGTTTAAAAGTTGTAACAAGAATACCAGTTTATTATGTATGAATTACTGTTTTTAACGTACTTCAGAGTTTTCGCAAAGTTTTTTTTAGAACATATTGATTTCTCCTGGAGTTTGTTTACATTATTAATTTACATCAAAGAGCTATTCATTTACTTTTCGTTTTGTTTCAGTTTTTTTTGACAGGGTCTCACTATGTAGCCCAGGCTGGCCTCCACAACTCACAGCGATGCTCCTGCCTCAGCCTACCCAGTGCTGGGACGGCAGGTGTGCTCCGCCACTGCAGAGCATTTAAAGAAGTAAACTTGCAAGTGGTGGCCAGGGATTTAGCTCAGTGGCAGCAAGCTTGCCTTGCAAGCTCAAGGTCCTGAGTTCAATCCGTAGTACTAAAAACAACAACAAAAAAAACCTTGAAGGTGGTCCCTGTGTGAAATGGCACGGACAAATCACAGACACGGCTAGAGACACAATCCTGGCACTGTGCAAGCTTTATCTCAGCTCACCATCAACCAGGTCCCATGAAGCAGGCATCATCGTCTTCACAGAGGAGGAGACGGGGAACTGGGGGACTAAGTGGTCTGCCAACTCTCACTTTGGGCTAAAGCAGGGGTGCGTTGGAATGCAGACAGCAGGAGGCCCAGCTGACCTCTTACTTCTGGGGCACACACAGCACTTCCTGCCATGAAGGAGTGGGACATGAACAGGCCCTTTCCACATGGCAAGAACCACCCCGGGAGCCTAGGAAAGAAGCAAAGAGTAATCGGACCTGTACAGCTCTAATCGTCTCTGTTAGTCCACCTGGCCCCTGCTGAGACAGTGCCTTACAATTTAGTATGTGATGGAAGCAAGCAGAAACACAGTGTGGAATTCTAGACTGAATTCTGGAATTTGAAAAGAAGACTGGAGGAAAACTTGGTGAAATCCAAGTCAGTTCACGGCTAAGTTAATAGTGAAAACTCTTGTCAGCTCCCTCCTCTTGACAAGAAGTGCTGCAGCCGGGAGGTACTCAACAACTGGAGCCACGGGCTGAGGGGCAAACGCACTGCACACCCACTTCCAACTTCTCCTGTAAACCTAGAGTTGTTTCAGAATTACAAATGTATTGGAAAAGACAAACAGAAGAAGCTAAAAACAACTGAGAGGCACCTGGGATTTAGCTCAGTGGTTCCACTGCCTGCCTTGCAAGCTCAAGGTCCTCAGTTCGATCCCCGATACCAAACAAACAAACAAAAAACGATTAAGAGGTATGCCCGGGTAATGAAAATAAATTTACTTGTTTCCCCAAATTTAAGCACCATATCATTTATTTTATCTGTGCAATATCTTTGCTGTACTGGGCACTACAGCCAAGGCCTCATGCACACCAAGTACTCTAGGACCAAGCTACATTCCCATCCCTATTTGGACTCTTAGGTAAATACAGTGGTCATTCTCAGTCTGCTAACAGTCAAGAACTTTTCAAACTGCACTGCTTGTCCTCGAGGGTGAAGGACTTAACTAACACATGCTTGATTTACTCATTCAACAAGCATTTAACGTGGGCTTCTGCTCTGTGCTCACCACAAATGAGGCCCCGTGAGCGCTGTGTCCTTGTTTCACAAAGGGCTCTTTCATACGATGGGTGACCAAAAGGTTCTGCTGTGGACACTGCGGTCCCTTCAGACCCACTGAAGTGCCCACAGCGTGGGGGCAGGAATGGGCCATCCGGTTCCCAGCTCATCTCCCTGCCATGCTGATTGGCTCAGGCGAACCTAGCCTCAACCAATCAGTACCCAGACTCCTGGGCAAAAGGAATATTACTCAGAAGTGGGACTGACAGTGGGATGGGAAAAGAGATTCATTTGCTCAGCACTTCTGGGGAAACAGTGCCTTTACGAATAGGAAACGTCCTCTCTGCCTCTGGAATCCATAGATGCAAAAAAACAAAACGTCTACTACTTTTGTCACCAGAAGTGCGCAAGCAAACAGAAAGCAGGTCTGGCCTCCCCGGGGTGGCCAAGCTGCCACTGACCTCTCAACCTCATTCTCAAAACTGTAAAAGGGCAATAAGAATAAAATGTAAATCACTGTAAATTCCAAGGCAATATTCATATTGGTGATATGTTAAAAACAACATATCATATGCAAGGTCCTGATTTCCATCCTCCCTACCAAACAAACAAACAAACCGGGACATTAAAGTTTACACAGTATATATTCACACTAGCATTTACATTTTGCTTATGTTTAAAACATTCTTCACCTATCTGATATTCATAGTAAAATATTTGCAGGTAAAATTATGCCTTGGAGTTGCTTTAAAGTACTTTAGAGTTTTAAAAAATGGGAGGGAGTAAAAAAAAAAAAATGATAGGGATAAGCTGGGCTTTTAGCTTAGTGGTTGCACCACCTCGCAAGCCCAAAGGTCCTGAGTCCAATCCCCAGTACCAAAAAAAAAAAAAAAAAAAAAAA